GAATATATCAGTATACGGAAGACGTGAAGTTGCAGTACATGAAATTCCCTCACACTTCTAATAACCAGGTGATTGGGACTGTAAAGGAAGTTAGTGATGAGCAAAGTCTGTCCACAGTGTCAAATTCATCTATTTTAGAGAACAAAGGTCAAAGACGGTGACGGTGGCACTTGATAATCACGACTGTGAACGCAAAAATGCCTCTTGCGTCGACAGCCAGAGAACTCCGCACCCCCGCTTATAGCTCTTCGCCTCTCATTGGAATAAGGTTGAGATAACCGCGATTGTTATTCCAGAGAATCGAAATTCAAATTTTGCAATTTAACATTACTTAAGGGCCAACGATCAGAAGTGATGAGACAAGATTCCGACGTATCCAACACAGAGCCTTCACGGCGAATGGAGAAGAGGAAGTACCGTGTTGTCAAATTGCATTCTTTTTTCATTTTCCTTGAAAAGTAATGGTGTCGACAATTTAGTAATCGGTAATCGGTGAGATAGTATTTGAGAAAAACTAGTACCTGGGGTTTTGGCGAAATAGGTAACTCAAAATAAACTTCCACTTTCCTTTTTTTTAAACCGAGTAAAAATAGAGATTATATGCACGCAATAAAATGCGTTAATTTAAGTCATTCATAACAATCTCTGAAGAGAAAAAAAAATCAATTCTTGAAAAAAAAAATTGTAAAAGAAAAATGGGAAAAGAAGGAAAAAGTGAATTAGAGTGATTTGCATTTTCGCTTTCTCTAATTTTTGGAACCTTGGTGTTTAGAAAAAAACACCTTATACTGGAAACGGAAAATATTACAAAAAATAGAAATCTAGTCGCGTGACATTTTTAATCAACCAGAACTCCCAAACAGAATTAGATACTTGGTTGCTTTGTTAATTTTCATATATGTGGATCCTATTTTTTATAATTAATAATTGGTACTGTTAATCAAAAAATAAGACGATTCTCGGGATTTTTAGGAATTTTTTGCCTGCGTTTTCTCCCCCGAGAAAATTTTTCAGCTACGCCCTTGTTTTCATTTCAATTCATTAAATATTGCCTTTAAGGTGAACAACCAGTCGAACTATTATATCTGCCTTTTATGCTCCCATTAGATTTAGTTTTAGATGTAGTTGACCTCTAAAGTCTATGGCTATGTCTATTCATAAAACAAGAATTCACGAAAAACACGGAAACACGAATTCACGGAAAACACGAAAACGAGAATTCACTAAAACACGAATGTTTTAGTTGTAAATGACCTCTAAAGTCTATGTCTATGTCTATTCATGAAACACGAATTCTCAGGAATCACAATCAGATGGTAACAAATTACGTGGTTTTTCTCAACCTCTCGTCGTTATATTGATTTAAACTGCACTTGATTTAGATATCCTTGATACCTTTTTGCATATTTCCTTGCTTCAATTTCGTCATTAAGAGGCTGCTCCCTGAATATTGAAACGTGACAAGACAAGACAAGACGTAGCTCTATCTTGACTATGTGATATACGAATTTCGATGTCTTATTAGGCTGCTTGATTCTTTCAATAATAGACCCACAGAAATATTTTTGCTATCTTTTTTGTAATGTTTACGATTTTTTAATGTAAATACTCTCCGTTGCAAAGACTCAGTGCTGCTATTCAATAACTGCGGGCTCAAGCTGTATAATCTACCTATACTTACTGTTTAATGATAATGAGGATAATATTTGATTATTTGAGTGCATGAAAAACGGTCGGAGAACTTTTAATCTTGAACACTATCATCATTCTCGCCTTTACCAAAATTATGGCTGTTAGAACCTTTGAGTGATCAAAATTGGTCACGTGAGGTGATTGTGCGTATTCGTTATGACCAGAGGTTGGTTTGATGATCAAGGACTGCCCATTTCAGAAGTTTTAAAAAATGAGTCAGAAGAAAATGGTGAACAAAAAACCTATCGAAAGATGCAAGAAAGTTCCCTTCAAGTGGTGCTAACGCAACACGCAGCAAACTGCATGCGAGGTTTCAATGCATAATTTCTGCAAAGACTGTACAGTGTACAAATGTCTCATAGCCAATGTTCGTGTTTGAGCGTCGCAGATTAAATCTGATACCACGTTACAACAAAATTACATTTTCAAATTGATTGTCTCTGCGAGAGTCAGTGCCTATTTTTGTAACAGCGAATTAAGAAAGCGATGATGATGTTGGGCTATATTATAGTCTATGATATAAATCGTTGTCATAACCCACAATCCCTTTCATCATTTTTCAAAGTGATTACTTTTTAAGTATCGAAAAGCGTAAAATACTGACTCCCAGCATTATAGTTTATCTTCAAACCATGAACCGATGTAAAAACTGAAATTGGCGGCCTTTATCTAGAGATTAAGGCAACGAGACGAATTACGTTACAGTGATTCCGACCAGGAAGTAAACAAACATCGATATATCGAGCAAATTTTGCTAAAATACGGGTTTTTCTTCTCACTCTTTACGAAACAAAAGAGCTGAAACAATGTGGGAGCATACTTCAGCAGTCTATTTTGGTGAAAAATCTCTTCCGAAAACCCTATAAAGCCAAATGAGACTGAACGCGAAATATCGCATCGCGTGCAATCAGTCAAATCGAACTAGAATTTTCACATTTTGTCTCATTTGGCTTTCATTTTAAGGTTTTCGAAAGAGATTTTTCACCATAATAGACTGCTGAAGTATGCTTCTGCATTGTTTCAGCTCTTTTTTTTTACAAAAAGTGAAAAGAAAAACTCGAGGTTAGCAAAATTTGCTCGATGTATTGATGTTTTTGTTTACTTCCTGGGAGAAATCACTTTAAGAAACAAAATTTGCGAACGGTAAATGTCCATTTTACTGATTGAAACCACCAAAATCGGTTTATCATTTTAGGTGACGACTCAGGAAGCCTAATTTCAAAATAGTTTACTTTGATACGAAAAGTTCAGGTTACTAAAAAAAATGCATTTTTTCAGAAAATTCAAAAGAGTTACCTATTACTCCTTCCAACCTAACCTAGCCTACTCCAAGCAACTTAAGTTAGTAATTTTACGAAGCCCTGAAGATATTCTAAATATTTTCCTCCTCCCAGATTCCCCTTAAATAACGCTTATATCCACCGAATTTTTACTCTTCAATTGTTTAATGGGTGAATGGGACTGATGGCAAGTCATTTGTCCAAAGAAATGTTTCCTAGTAGAAGTTTTCCTAATACTTTTTTCCTAAACTTGAAGAAACGTATCCGTCCAAATTACAATTGTCAATGTTCTCTTTTACCTTTCTTAGCTTTTGTCTCAATTCATTTCTCGGTAATTCTCGTGATCTTTTATCTGTGTGTGAGGAATATCGTGAGAACGTGTCAAGCAAAGTTGTCTCTGTTCTCCTTCAAAAAAATAAACTCAATGCGGAGATTTTAAAACACCGCAGTAGAAGTACGTGTTTCTGCTGTTTCGCTGTCGCCATTAGTTGCAAAATTCAAGTGGACTTTTTGAAATTTGCGCGAAAGCCAGGAGATACATTTTCAATGGATGTTTCCACAAAAACCCCTAACATAAATGGCGCTTCTCTTATGTTGAAAGCTTTGAAGTCGGATTCATTCATTAGAAATCATATTTTAAGCACTCTTGTCCACAGAGCAACTATTCAAACTCCTGAGTGTGCAATGGGCATAAGTCACAAATTGTAGGCGCCTACCGAGATGATCTATGCCGTCACGACAGTTTTGCCGTCTTGTCGCAGCGACCTCCCACTTGAACCCTGTTTGTGTAAGAGAAATTAATGAAGCAATGTCATGCCAGCGAATGTAATTTAACAAAAATTTGAAAAAAGAAGTGGAATTCTCACGAGAGACCGTATAGTGCATTTAGCTCAAAAAAATGATTTGACGTTATTGTTCATCCTGCGAGTAGTGGAAAGGTATAAGACTAATATAATGTTGCATGGTTTTCTTTTTATATACATCACAGATAATAAGAGTTGTGAGTAAATGGCCGAAGCAGATACTCGCTTCACAACAAACTAATTAGCTAACTAGCAACTTTTGTTGTAGGGTGAATTTTGATAGACAGGGTGAAAATGGAAAAATAAAAGAAATGTTTGCTTTTACTTTATGTTCATCAGAGGAGACTTTTTCATCGCGCAGTCGATCTTTTCACGGCCTCGTGCTATTTCAAACTTGTTTAGTTCGCAGATTAAGTGAAGGTGTTAAACTTCATTTTGTCAACAAGTTCAACATCAGATCAACAAAATTAATGAGCTATTAAAGCATCTACACGCCTTAATGGCTGCGTGTGTTGCTGTGTGCCACGATTAAAATTTTCGGTCATCATTCTGTTGAGGTGCATTCGCTTACAGCTGTTCGTAATGGAATTTTACAAAGGTGAACTCATCAGGAGTCAACAAAATCGGAAGCAGACAGCGAAAACAGATCAAATGTTTCATATTTTAACATTTATGAGAAAGTAATGTGCATTACAGTGCGTCAAATTCTTAAAAAAATCACATGATGAAAATGAAACCGAGAATACGGAAAATAATCCAGCTTTTTTTCTTGGAATTGTGACATTTCGAGAAAAAAAAAATTTGCCTTTATTACATTGAAAAGAATGTTTGTCAGGAATTACCATATCAAGACATCGAGGTGTAATAGGGCCTTTTCTTCTTTCTTTTTTGAAATTATAGATGCATAAAAAAATTTGAAAGAGCATATAGCGTTGAGATGAGATTGTGGCGTTCAGTTATTACTCCTAAAAAAGGTCACGATTAATTGTTCAAAAACTGTGACTGTAGAGGAAGGATGAGGCCGAACTGGAACAATACATACAAGTGTATGCCGTTAGTCAATCTCACAAATACCCCCCGCCCCTCTTTCTTGCGTATTTTATGCGCTCATTCCAAAGTAAATACCAAAATAGATAGATGTAGAGAGATAAGTAGCACTTATGGTAATTAAGTCATCCATTAATAAATATGAGTGTTGGCTGATTTAAAAAATAATGCAACTCACCGTACATCATGTCACTCTGAAGGCAACGGAGGAAGGAAGAAATCGAACTTGTGAGAGCACTTTTCTAGGATAAAACTTGAAAATTTTCACGTGAGTGTTTGAAGGAGTTATGCCAGAACTTTAACATTATTATACAGGAACCAAGCGAAAAAAGCAGGAATATTATACGAAAAGAATTAAAGATAGAAAATATTGGGAACAGAACGTAAAATACTGCAAAAGGAGAGGGGAAAGAGCAGAGAGGAGGAGACTGGGATAGCAACTTTGAGAGTGGGAGAGCTGGGAGGAACTCCAATGTCAAAAAGAGTACGCAGAATCGAAAATTATGACAGAGAAGACGGAGGAAGAAAATGAAGGACTCGATGATAATGATCATAAAAATAAAAAGAAGGGGGAGAGGAGGAGAAGGAAGAGGAGGGAGAGAGGAAAGAAGGAGGGAGGAGGGCGGCGAGAAAAATGTTTTAATAATTAAAATAGGGGTTAATGAAGCAGGGATGATAATATGGGGCTGATGAGAAGGGAAGAAATTTAGAGACGCGTCTTGAAAGCTGCGAAAAAGTTGGACTTGAAAGCACAAAGCGTTGGAAATGAATGCGCGGACGAGCGGAGATTATGTAAGACATTACGCGCGGACCTAAGAGCATGTTACAAAACTAAAAGGGAAGACGGACAGTGAGTGGAACGGTGAAAGAGAAATGGGCGGAGAGAAGAGCGAGAAAGGAAGAGAGGATTCCGACGAGCATAAGAGAGAAGTAAATAAGTCAATTTTTGACGGTCAAGAGCAGAGCAAAACGGAATGGAGGAAGGTGGGGGTAGGTAGGAAGTTTACTTTCCGGCCAGGGTCCTCCTTTCTCCGTGAGTCAGTTCTGGCCCCGAGATCTTCCTCTTTTATTCGAGGCCCGCTTTGCATCAACTTTCCTCGCTCGTCCCCCAACCCCAACCCCGACGTCCAAGTCGACGTCCACTTTCTATATATTGGAAATATTGACTCATTTCTCTTTCACTCCAACCTTCCCTATCGTCCGCCAGGGTGTCCTTGAACGCGACCCCCGAAGCCCGTCCTCAAAGGCTTCGTCCTCCCAACATTCTGCGATTCCACGATTCCACCTCCACCTCAGATCCACTCCTATATCTAGTCTCACGGGTCATGTAAAGGAGCATATCATCAACGCGATTCGGATCATCAACAAACATTGCTCATTTCTCCCACGATTCTCAGTGTACAGTGCTTCGTTTCAAAGAACTTTGGAGCCGACTAGTCAAGGAAAACCTTCTGGAGAATCAGCATGGTTTTACTAACGCTCGCTTTGGTTTCGTGTTCGATTGTGCTAGCTGTAATTTACGTCGTTAAAAACTTGAAAACTTCGCCGCAATTGAAGTCGCTTTTGATCAACTCGGAATGGAAGCTTTTGGAACTTCCGCCGGGACCGCGCCCGCTCCCAATTTTGGGTAACATGCACTTGCTCGGCAAGTACGAGGTCCCTTTTCAAGCCTTCAACGACTTGAAAGAAATCTACGGGGATATCTTTCAACTCACCTTGGGCTCCTTTCAGTGCATCGTCGTCAATAACTACCAACTCATCAAAGAGGTTCTCATCACCAAAGGAGCCATCTTCGGCGGCAGACCGGACTTCAAACGCTTCCATAAACTATTCGGCGATGACCGAAGTAACTGTAAGTCTGCACCATCATTTTCATACCTTCATTCAACCGATTATTTTCCCAAAAACCTAGGCGCCGAAATTTCAAAAATAATGTTTGTCGCATTACTATTGCCTATACTAAGATGTACCTTACAGCATAAAGATTTCTCGCTTGTCTCAAAATCTTGCTTGTGGCGCTCACCTGATTTGGAAAATAATCGGTTCTATCAAGTTATTACTGTTTTAAAGAATGTGCTCATCAACTAACTCCAATTTTACAAAATGATAACCGAAATTTAAATGAAATTTTAATGAATACCTACATTTTCAAACAAATTTAGTTTTGGCGTGCCTAAACTAAAAAAATATGTTTCTCGTTCATGGTATCTTAAAAGCTCCCTTCTCATTTTATCTTATCAAGAAAGAAGAAACGAACACCTTGCTTGAAACTTTCACAGAGAGTTCATTCCACATAGAGAGAAAAATCAAAAGTTTCCGAGAAATTACGTTGATTATTTTTCCAATTAGAGAGTAAATTTTAACAGGAAGTCCTCAGCGTCGTAAACCGAGTCGTGCGTTTTTGCAATTTCACCGTCAATTAATTTGCAGCTAAAATTTTGTCATTTGCAGCTAAAATTGTTTAAATGGGCGGTATTGCTCTTAAGATGAATAAAAGAAATAAATGTATCTCCTGATTTTAACTAAAATTTCTTTAAAAAAAATCCCATAAATTTGATGCGACTCTGTTTCTGGTGAATCGATGAGACAGTTCAGGCACGCTTCATTGATATAATGCGATAATAGATTAAACTTGAGACGAGGCATAAATACATTCAGAATCACACCTTGCTCATTTCAATGCACTTATGTATTCATCACGTCTACGACAGACGGATTGGCCGCGATATTGACGATTACATTTTACAATAACTTTTGTCTCGTTTTGAAATGTTGAACGGTGTAGCCTTTCAGAGGTAGTTTTTCTATCATTATGAATGTATTAATGGCCGAGTGATAAACAACCTGAGATTTGGGACTATTCCAAGTTAGAATGAGAGACAGGAAACTTTATGGGGTCAAAAAGCACCACTTGATGTGCCTGGTCGTAGTGGCGCCGGTTTGTAGTTCGGTCGCAGGGTGGGCTTGATTACATACATTTTGCTTCAATTCAGAAGAAATAAATTCCTTCATTTCCTCACCCATCGGCAGTGCGTAAGTTTACCTCTTGCCCTGAACCTACCCTCACTCAATAACTTGCGGGCTGATCATTGAAATTGATAGACAAAGTGAGCGACAAAATAGACATAGAGAACATAGAGCGATCTTCTTGGTTGAAACGGGTGGGTGTTATAGAGAAAAAGGGAAAATTATGGACCAACTATAGGGTCCCTAGCGGGTTGCCGTTAGTTTGTCTATTACTTATTTCCTGCTGCTGTGCTAAGGAAGAACGTCGTATGTGCCTTCAGACGCGGCCAATTTTCCTCCGATAAAAACGGAATTTATCGGGAAAATTGCGAATATTATTTTCCAAAATTTTCAGACAATATTTTGCGCAATTTAATCTAGAATATCTGAAAATTTCAAGGACAAATATGCATAAATGTCACCAAAAATACATGTTTTATCAAGGGAAATTTACCAACTCTCGAATGCTCATACGGCGTTCTTCCTTAGCACGGCAGTATGGTCATTGCAAGACCTGCTCCCACCAATAGGATCGCTTTATTTTCAGTTTATCATTCTTGTCTACCGCTTTGTCTATCGATGTCAATAATCAACCCACCGTATAAGTGAGATGGCACAGGTTGTCACTCCTCTGACCTAACGGCCTATCTCTATATCCGCACAAGACTCGGAGAACATGGACTCATACGGAGACCAGGACTCACAAGAAAATCGAGCTACGCCCTTACGTCAGAAAGGCGACGATGTGATCGGCCCATGGCAGGCATCTTCAATAGCGTACTCAGAAATGGGTTTCTTTCTTACTTTATGAGAGAGGCAAGGCGAGAGGATCATTTAGCTTTTGTAAACCTCTCCAAGCTTGATAATTATTCGATGTCATCTCCAGTCTGTGCAACTGGCGGAGTGTCTTATAGGCAAGGGATGCAGTTGTCCCCCTCCCCCCCTCTCCCACCCAACCCACCTTTCAGGAAAAAAAATCATTGTAAAAATCATCTACTTCTTACTATCATTGTTGTTTGTGTCACAACGAGTTACTCAATATAATTTTTTGTTGGTCGAAGCAAATGAGACTACTAGTTCCAAAGTGCAAAATGTCCATTTTGGTCGAAATTGCACTGGAAAAAAAACACATTGGATCTAGAGTCTAGACTCTTGAAAACATTGACAAGAAAAAATACCCTTGATTCAATCAGATTTTTGCTTAAATCAAAAGGAAATCCGCTCAAATTAAGAAGTTTGGTTCTATATTTAAGCTAAAATCCGATTGAATCAAGAGTATTTTTTCTTGTCGGTGTTTTTAAGAGTCCGGACTCTAGATCCAATGTTTTTTTTTCAGTGCGAGCTAAAAGTGGATTCTTCATTAGCCAATGGAAAAGAATAGGAAAATAATTTAATTGTGTGCCAAAACAGCCAAACTCCTTTTTAATTAGCAGTATTAAAAAGCAGGCCCGCCACAAGGGGGGGGGATACTGGGTCCTTGGTACCGGGGCCCGGGCCCTGGAGGGGCCCGTGACGCAGGTGACAAACCACTACGAATTCATGTGTAACCCTTGTCTCGTAGGGAAAAGTGAAAAAATTACCCTAAAAATTCCGCAAAAGGTGAATAAAGTTTCAAAAACACGCTAGGGCACTATAAAATTTTTCTTACTTTCTTAGAGATTTTCAAGATTTTGAGTATATGTAGATGAATGATATGTTTAGTAACTGTGTTTCATTTTCTTCCGTTGTCGGATGCTAAGAGGCTCCTTTCTGGGCATCCTCGACTTCAATGGCTTAACTCCCTTGCCATAGACGTACGAAAGGGGAGTCCAGGGGGGCCCGGCTCCCCATAGAATTGAAAATTATCATCTGCCCCCTCAAAAAAAATTTATAGATGTTTTGAATGCAACAATTCGAAAGTTTTTGGTGCTGAAAGTAAACAAAAAGGCGTAATTATTCTGCAGAAATTTATGGAAAATCTCCATCATAGAAGCTTCATAATGCGTCCAAATAGATTTAAAATTTCAAAAATTTCCCGGGGGAGGCCCCCCGGACCCCCCCCCCTTGCTAGGGGCCCGGGCCAGAAACTTGGTACCAGGGCCCGAGATGGGATGTGGCGGGCCTGTTAAAAAGGTAAGTCGCAGCAAAACACAGCAAATTCAAAACAATTTTTTGCGTTTTTGTGACAAATTACTTTTATGGACATTGTGCACTTTGGAAATTGTTGCCTCAAAAATTATGAGCGGAGGAAACGGACTCATTCCCTAGAAAACTTTCGAAATTTTAAAGCATCTAATATGCAATTTGAGTCTATTTTTCCATTCATCAGTACCAAATATGAGCGTCCTTCCTTCCTCTCTCTTCCGTTTCTTCCCTTTTTCTTTCTTGCCTTTTCTTACTCTTTTTTTGGGGGGAGGGGGGGGCAAATGGGCAAATCCCCCCCTGGACCCGCCTATGACTGTAATTCAAACTTTGGTTACTATTGGCCTATTAAGAGGATTTGCTCCCTCGAAAGTCACTATTTCCCCTCGAAAAAATAGAGCTGCTTAGAAAGCAGCTAATTTTAAGTTGATAATCGAAGTGAGCCTAAGTTTTCTGCGCTCTTTCAAAAAGGTTTGATGCATTAACTGCAACGTCGTCGGGAAAAGACAATTAGAGCGTGGGAACCTATCGAGTACGATTGAAATTGTGCCGGAGCAGCAATTCGCTCGGTGAATGAAGAGAAACAAAATTTATGAGTCATCTGACACCCGTGTAATTGTGGGTCATGAATGGAAGAGATGCACCAAAACGAGGATATGAGACGGTATTTTGATCCAGACTTGGGCGGTGTTGTCATGCGCACCTTTCAAAAATTACTAAAACTCGCAAAAATGAATAAAAATGTAGACGACTACCAGAATCAAAAATATTATCGAGGAACAAGTCGGGACAATTTATGAGTCATCGTCATCTCCCAATCGTGGAGGTGGAATTGACTAACGTTCCCGAAATTTTTGGCAATTTTGATTACACACCTGGCCACTACGATACGCGCTCGCAGACAATTACATAACACGTGCGCCAGTTTTATCAGCCAGTATGAATGAGCTCTCATGACATCATCGTTTTTTATTCCGTTCTTGGAATCAAGTTAAATGCTTGTTCGGGCATTTTTGGTACTAACGGTGACGGCATCGCGAATGCCTCTATCTGTTGCTCCTGTTTATTCCTTCACTGATTCTTGGACTTGAAGCAACAGCCGTGTGTGTGGGCTTACTTTAAAAGTAGGTTGCGAGGTTCTCTCTCTCTCGCTCTTTTTGCGTTTAATTAAAATGCACCGTAAGAAAGGAATCCCGATTTGTTTTAGTAAAATGTTTAAAGTCAACAGTGCTCGCTCAACGATTTCAAAATTTGCGCAAAACGATTTCCGAGAATACGATTTTAGGGAAAATTGTTCCACATCGACGGTAAGACTCCCAAACCACGTATCTCGTTTGCACTGGAAAAAAAACACATTGGATCTCGAGTCCAGACTCTTAAAAACGTCGACAAGAAAAAGTACTCTTGATTCAATCAGAATCTAGCTTAAATAAAAAACCAAGCCTCTTAATTGAAGCGGATTTCGTTTTGATTCAATCAAAAATCCGATTGAATCAAGCGTATTTTTTCTTGTCAATGTTTTCAAGAGTCTGGACTCCAGATCAAATGTGTTTTTTTTTTCCCAGTGTAGGGTGATTGAAAATCTCCGCTCCCGTTTTATTTTTAAAAGAAGAACAGATCAGCATCACTTTTTGAAATTGTCTCAGAGTTTCCCGCGGACAAAGGAGAAAAATCAAGGGAGTTTTTAAGAATTGACGTTGAGTATAGTTCTCCAAAAATCATGTT